GCGTCCGACTTCAGCCAGGTCACAATCTCGCGGTCTGTGAGTTCGAGCCCCGCGTCAGGCTCTGGGCTGATGCCTCAGAGCCTGGAGCCTGTTTCCGATTCTGTGTCTCCCTCTCTCTCTGCCCCTCCCCCGTTCATGCTCTGTCTCTCTCTGTCCCAAAAATAAATAAACGTTGAAAAAAAAATTTAAAAAAAAAGAAATGGTAGGTTATAGAGACTCTGAATTTTGTTAAGGTTTTTTTCCCCCCCCTGAAGAGTGATTTTAGTTTCAGTAGGCGGTTAACCCTGTTGGACTGAAACTCCAGTTTTGTTCTCTGTTTTGCAATGGGCAGTTGCTTGTATTTTTGCACAGTTACATCAGCTTTCATCTGCTTTCATTCCGCAGGGCATAGTTTAGTGGTCAGCAAGAATTTGGGTGAATTTTATAAGCAGACTTCGCAGATACCTTTTCACTACAGGATTTAGCTCATCTAATTTTCCAGCTGCTTGTGAGCCTTATGGTGTGTTCTCTGATATCTCAAGCCAGTAAGGCAGCAGATTCCTTCCGCATGAGCTGCAAGCAGATTGGGCAGGGTATGTCCCAAGGCAAAAGGCAGCCTTTAAAGTTTATTTATTTTTGAAAGAGAGAGAGAGAGAGAGAGAGAGAGAGAGAGAGAACATCCCAAGAAGGCTCTATGCTCTCAGCATGGAGCCCTATGCGGGACTGCCCTACACAGGGCTTGATCTCAATTGTGAGATCATGACCTGAGCCAAAATCAAGGGTCAGATGCTTAATCAGAGGAGCCACCCAGGCATCCCAAAAGGCAGCTTTAAAAAAATCACATGGATACTATTTTTCTTTAGAGAGAAAAATATTCTCCGATTTCTCCCTGCTTTTGATCCCTCTTAAGGATCTTCAGATAGATTCTGGAAAGTATGTCTTCTAAATTTTACAGTTGTTCTCTCTGGGAGGATTAGTCCAACTCCACTACTCTATCATTTCCCAAAGCCAGAATAATTAAAAAAAAAAATAACATGTGTTGAGTGAATGCAGAGTATTAGTAAAATTATTACTTGTCTAACCTGGATACCTTATTTCTAGTAAAAGAGGCTAGTTTTATGTTAGGTGCTTTTAGTAGCTGTCATATTCTTGACTCATGTTTTGCCTCTGCTTATAATTGTTCAAAGCGTCTGGATTATTTTTACCTGAATTTCTCCTTCCCCCTAAGTCTGAGTTACAGAAAATGACAGGAAATAAAAGAAAGAAGGAACATGAATGGCCTTTATTCTTTCATACAGCAAATAATCACTTTACTTTTTTCTAATGTTATTTTAGCCATTCTTGCCTGACCTGAGGCTCAGAGATAGTCACTAAGACACTCTACATGACGTACTGTGGTTAAAACTAATTCAGAGAGAGATGTGAACTATTTAATAAAAAGCAAACAAAGCATGACTTTACAATTAGTAATTGTGACTTCTCAAAACACAATCCACAGTCTGTAAAAGTAGGCTACCGACTAACTTCCTTGGATAAAAAACAAAAAAACAAAACAACAACAAAAAACAAGAAAGTTAGAATGTTAGAGGCTCATTGTTTTATTTTGAGGAGATAATTACATTGTTATACTTTCCCCTAGAATTTAATTTTCCCATTGATAGGGTTGGAGCAAGTAGATTAGTAGTTTGTCTTGTTTGATAGAATGAAATTGGAATAGCTTAATTATCTGTTTTATTGCAGATTCTTGGAATAGTGTTTCAAGTTATTTGCATAATGGTTAAATCAACTTAACATATAATTGTATTCATTTTCTTACATGACCTTGACCTTTTGTATTAAGAATTTCAATTCATTTTAATTTCCAATTGTTGGAGTGTTCATAATCATCTTAGAGTTATTAGTATTAGTACAGTGTGCAGATCACATGAAAAAAATCTTATTAGAACTTTGTTTTGAATTATTTTTATTTGAAGTATTCCTTTCTGTATAACAGCCATAAAGTTTACTCCAACCTAATGTTCAAAAACATTTGTGTAACTATTAGTAATTTTCAACTAATTGTGTAACTATCACCTCAAACTAGTCTCCAAAAACATTTGTGTAACTATTTTGAAAGTTGAATAAGGAAAGGCATAGATGAAAGTTAAATTTATCAACAAAAGTTAGACCAAAGAGAAGAATAAGGAACGACAAAAGGAGATCCGGCAGCCAAAAGAGGATTAGATTATTTTGCTGTTACTTTAAGGACTATACAGAACTTCAAGACCTCACATGTGCCTGAAGACCAGAATTAAGCATGGGAGGGAAAACTGAAAGTGCATGGTGAAGAAGGAAGCATTAAAAGAAATAGGGACTTATATATTTAGTTGGTGTCAGAGGATCGGCTTTTCCTTCATGGCACAGGGCGCTTACGCTCGTAGCCCTACAGGAGTGAATACTTCCATTGTCCACGTTGGAAGTGGCCCTTGTGGAAACTGAATTATAGCTTTGATCAGTTCAAAAGAAGCCATCACTGGTATTAACATCCTCAGCAATATCCGTGTCAGCATTATCAATACCATTCTCATGGTCAGAATCATTAAAATTTAGGTAAGTGTTTATTTTATCCCAGGAACTGGGCTGAAAAGTTTACATGCATTAGCTCATGCTGTCTGATACTGTGGTGCGGGGGAGATACTTTTGTTGTCTTTCTTTACAGATGAGAAACCCAAGGCTTATAATGTTTAATTAAGTTATCCTAAGGTCACAGAGGTAGTAAGTAGCAGAGACTGAACTCAAAACAGGATTTTCTGTTCTTAATATATGCTGTTAACCATCAACGATGAAAAAATAGTCTGGAAAGAACATGAAGCCTAAGCTACTAATTTTAGGATCTCTGGTTTGGAGTTTGCCATTAAGCAATATAAAATGTTATAGCCAAAATAATGTTCTATTATCATGAATAATTCAGGGTATGTTTATCTTTATAACTTCCTACTTCAATTTTCAGTACAGCTTGAACTGCTGGAATGGAATATTTGACCATTAGTATTTTAAAGGATGTCAGAGGGCTGAATATTTCAAGGGACATATTTACAGTAAGGCAAAGTTCTTTCAATATAAACTAGTATTTTTACAACATTTGCTTATCTTTTTTTTTTTTTTTTCTCTCTCTCTCCTTAGGAAAAATTGGATGCAGGGGTGAGAAAAGAAGTCGATGGCATGGGAACATCAGAAATAAAATATGGAGACTCAGTATGCTATATTCAACATATAAATACAGGCCTGTGGCTTACTTACCAGTCTGTGGATGTGAAATCAGTGAGAATGGGATCCATACAACGTAAGGTAAGATTACATAAAAACGCGATTTATAGCCATCGTTTTTTGTGACGATAAAACACCAACAGAAGGTAAGAGGTAGCTAACACTGTGGGCCACCTGCAAAACACTATTTACATGCAAAAGGTCAAATCCCACCATAATAATCTCTTTGGTTTTTGTGGGGTGAACAATGCCAGATGTTACATAACGACTTTAAATATCAAGTGAAGAAATACACTCTTTTCTGGATTCTAGCATAGTCTACCTACTTCACTCTGTTCTCCCTGTTCCTGCCTGAGTTGTATTTCTAGAAAGCAGGAGAGCTCATACACTGTTACGGTTTAGTCCTCTGCTGACAGTCTGTTTCTCATAAGACAAGTGCTATGCTTCTTGGTAGTGATATGATACCCTTCCTGACCTGCCTCTTATCTCATCCGTGCCCCATTCACCTATTCATTGTCCAATCTCTGGGCATCGTCTTTGGTTTTCTCAGCCCACCAGTTGTACCACATTCCTTGTTTCTCAAAAAATCATGGCTTTGAAAAAAAAAATGTCAATTCAGATCCTCTACCCATTTTTTGAATCAGATTATATTTTTGTTTTTGTTGCTATTGCTTTGTATGAGCTCTTTATGTATACAGGATATTAATCCCTTGTCAGTTATATGATTTGCGAATACCTTCTTCCATCCAGAAGGTTGACTTTCATTTTGTACACATGAAATTGATATGCTATGGTTGTCAACTATACTTCAATAAAAAGCCAACAAACACACACAATGTGGGTTATACACAACTGTGCTTTTGCAAACACAGTTGACCCTTGAGCAACATGGGACTAGGGGCACCAACCCACAGTCAAAGTCTGTGTTTAACTTTTGACTCCCCCTAAAACTTTACTAGTAGCCTACTGTTGATGGGAAGGTTCACCAATAACATAAATAATTAACACATTTTGTGTGTTATATGTATTATATACTGTATTCTTACAATAAAATAAGCTAGAGAAAAGAAAATATTAAGAAAATCCTAAGAGACCATATATTTACAGTACTGTACTGTATTTATTGAAAAAAAGCCATGTGTAAGTGGACCTGCGTAGCTCAAACCTATGTTGTTCAAGCGTCAACTACGGTTGGAATGCCCTTTAAAACTTTTTTTCTCCACCCAATTTCTATCTGTCCTGCAGAGGTTAAGTTTAAAGATTTTAAAAGTTCTTCTTGAAAGTCTCAGTTTATCTCCTGTGCCTTCCTTTATGTTTTCATAGTATTTATGTATAACTTAGTAAATTTTTTTTTAATTTTTTTTTTTAACATTTATTTATTTTTGAGACAGAGAGAGAGCATGAATGGGGGGAGGGCCAGAGAGAGAGGGAGACACAGAATCTGAAGCAGGCTCCAGGCTCTGAGCTGTCAGCACAGAGCCCAACGCGGGGCTCGAACTCACGGACCATGAGATCGTGACCTGAGCGAAGTCGGACACTCAACCAACTGAGCCACCCAGGCGCCCCTAACTTAGTAAATTTTATATGTAGTCCTGTGCTATTTCATTTACTAGGGTACCTCTCCCTTCCCCTCCTCTCCCTTCCTCTCTCCACCCCTCCCCTCTCCTCTCTCCTCCTCTCCCCTCCCCTATCCTCTTCTCTCTCTGTCTTTCTCTCTGTCCTTCCTCTCACCCTCCAGCTCTCCATCCCACACTATTTGTGAGCTCCTTTAGTACTATAGTACTAAATTGTTCATATGTCATAATTTTACACAGAACCAAATAACACCACAAATATTATTTCTACCGACGTGAGATGTTGGAAAGACTGTAGTGGAGCAGAAATCTTTATTTCCAATAGACTTACTAATCATAACATATCTACATTCCAGAATGGATTTTTTTAGGGTTATTGTGATCTCTTTGGAGTGACCAGTGAGGTTGGAGGCTGATTCTGCTTTGATTGAGTTGGGCTTAAGTCATCTCTCTCCTAACTTAGAGCTTTGGATGGAAAGCCAGGGACAACTCTCTTGTAGACCCATATGATCTTTGTGATGAGATCATCTCTTGTCGTTGAGGTCTTTGAGCGAGGCTCATAAATTTAAATGCATTTATTCATATGCATATGTGTATATATACATATAGACACACACACACACACACACACACACACACACACACAAACACACACACACACACAGACACATCAGTAATACCATTCTTGTACCTAATAAATAATGAGAATTCCATTATATCATCTAATATCCTGTTTGTATTCATATTTCTTCTCTTGTCCCAGACTGTCTTTTATATCTCATTTCATATCAGGATCCAATCAATGTTCATGCATTTTTTTGGACTTCCTCTCTTGTTTTTATCATTGACTAAGAATCTAGGCCAGTTGTAGAATGTCCCGTGTTCTAAATGTCTCTGAATTATTTTTTCCCATTGCCTTTGTCCCTTGTAATTGCCATAAATTTGAAATACGGTCTGGGGCTATGCTGTCCAAGTCAGCAGTTCTTAGCCACATGTGGCTATTTGGTACTTGAATGTGGCTAGAGCTACAGGAACTGAATTTTTCGTTTTGATTTTAATTAATTTAAATTTAAAAGCTTATGCTTAATTAAATTATTAGAGAATTTTTGTGCATGTTTGGAACAGCTTAGGTATGTGAATGTACTCTTGCAACTGTAAATGTCATCAATTCTAAAACAAATCAAGTATTTTCACTAACAGTTTGGTATCTAAATAAGTATCCTGGATTTTGAAGGCAAAGAAGAATGGTAAATACTTCGTGAACAGGTTTGTTCTGTTTATTACATATTGACATAATATTTTGGATACATTGGGGTAAATCAAACATAATTAAAATTTTACTTTTTAAAAAAACTCTTTTAGTGTGGGTTCTTGAAAACTCAAAGTTACAGATTTTAGGAACACTTTCTGCCACCCCTCCCCCCCCTACCCCATGCTTCCTTCTAATTACTACTACTCTTAAGGATAAATACTACACTGCTTGTGATACTGGAGATGAGTTTTATGCAGGGCTTTTTATTTTAATTTATAATAGTGATTTTACCGGATTTGCTACACTGCATCCTGTATTATTTGTACCACAACATTCACCAGAAAGGTTAAAGTTCAAAATATGATTGCACAAATCATCAGGAACAGAGTGAATGAAGCAAAATTCTTAACTCAGATATTACTTTCTAAGAGTTCTAGTCTAGTATCAGATTTTCCTTGTATCTTTTCTTAACAGTTGAATATGATATATGGTTATGGGAAAAATATGGGTAGAAACGATAACATGTAGACACATTTTTGTAAAGACAGAAATAAGTTTCCATCAGGAAATCAGCAGAAACTTCAGGTATTATTTTGCTATTCTAAATACTTAAGTGGTAAATGCAAAAAAAAAGTGTTCATATATATATGTATAAGTATGTATATAAGTATATATATATAATATTAAAAAAGTATATACCACTTGAATGAGTTATTATAAATCATGCAACTCAAGGGGCACCTGGGTGGCCCAGTCAGGTAAGCATCCACTTCTTGATTTTGGCTCAGGTCACGATGCGACAGTTTGTGAGTTCGAGTCCCGCCTCCGACTCTGTGCTGATAACATGGAGCCCGCTTGGGACTCTGTCTCCCTCTCTCTCTGTCTACCCCTCCCCCACTTGCTCTCTCTCTCAAAATAAATAAAAATAAACTTAAAAAAAAAAACACACCTCACAGCATAGTTTTCATTATAAATCTGAATAGTTGCACATAAAACCATGTCTGGCTCACGTAAGTATGAACCGTTATTGTTAACGGCTCGCCTTTGAAGTGTGCATCTTCTTAGATGGAGATGTTTAGAACGGAGATGGTGGGAGTAATGGCAGGGTTCTTTTGCATTTGTACAGGCTATTATGCATCATGAAGGTCACATGGATGACGGCTTAAATCTCTCTAGATCTCAGCATGAAGAATCACGGACCGCACGAGTCATCCGGAGCACTGTCTTCCTTTTCAATAGATTTATAAGGTCTGGTTCCTTTGTTGTGGTGGTTTGATGTTTTGTCTCGACTTCTTTATTGTCTTTACAGATATGCAAGTCTAAAATACACTGCGGCGGTAAACCTACAATTTGGTGGGTTGGCAACACACGTTAGAAAATGGGAGCTAGGTGGTTTTACGTCTTTTTATTTTATTTTATTTTATTTTATTTTATTTTATTTATTTTTTTATTTTTTATTTTATTTTATTATTATTTTTTTTTCAACGTTTGTTTTTTATTTTTTTGGGACAAGAGGCAGGGCATGAGCAGGGGGAGGGCAGAGAGGAGACCTGAGTCGGAGGCTGGGCTCCGGGCTCCAGGCCGTCAGCCAGAGCCAGCCAGCAGGCTCAGGAACTCCCGGACAGGATCCTGACCCTGGCTAGAAGTCGGACGGCAACATTCTGCATGCACCAAATATCTTAACTAAATACACTTTTAAAAAGGGAATGTTATTTTTTTTAATTTGAGAGACGGCATGGGAGCAAGTGGGGGAGGGGAGGGGCAGAGAGAGAGAGGGAGGGAGAGAGAGAGAATCCCAGGCAGGTCCTGTACTGTCATTGGCAGAGCCCAACACAGAGCTCGATCCCACAAACCATGAGATCATGACCTGAGCCAAAATCAAGAGTCAGTGCTCAACCGACTGAGCCACCCAGGTGCCCGTGCAATGTTATTTTAGAAATTGTGTGTGTAACTCGTATTTGATAGCGACAGGTTAGGATTATTCTATAACATACCCTTGTTCTGGACCTGTTTATATTCCTTTCACACTGAGGGTGATGAAGCCTACATACTTCGTGAGTTTTGAACGGTATTAAAAAAATAAAATGATTCTTACAGTAACTAAGTTTCATACCTTCTAATGGAAACAGTTATATATCTTCAAACTAAATCAAGTTTTTGCTCAGAGTGTTTTCTGTAACATTATACCAATATACGGTCTGGCTTGTGATGGGTATCATACATCTCTTTAAACTTGCCAATTTGAGGGGCCTCTGGGTTGCTCAGCTGGTTAAGTGTGTGACTTTTGGTTTCGACTCAGGTCATGATCTCATGGTTTGTGGGTTCGAGCCCTACATCGGGCTCTACACTATGCCTGGGATTCTCTCTCTCCCTCTGCCCTTTCCCTGCTTGCTTGCTTGTGCTCTCTCTCAAAATAAACAAACATTTAAAAAAAGAAAATAGAGGCACCTGAGTGGCTCAGGCAGTTATGCGTCCAACTTTGGCTCAGGTCATGATCTCACTGTTCATGAGTTTGATCCCTGCGTCAGGCTCTGTGCTGACAGCTCAGAGCCTGAAGCCTGCTTTGGATTCTGTGTCTCCCTCTCCTCTGCCCCTCCCCTGCTTGTGCTCTGCCTCTCTCTCTCTCTCTCTCTCTCTCTCTCTCTCTCTCTCTCTCTCAAAAATGAAAAACATTAAAAAATTTTTTTAAGAAGAAAATAATTTTTAAAAAATAAGTAAACTTGCCAATTTGATGGAAAAGTTTATGTATGTATATACACACGTGTATGTATATACATATATGTGTATGTATTTACAATAATTTTTAAGTTGAATTTATTCAAGAATTGTGAAAATAGGTATATTTCATGTTTGTTGACCATGTATTTTTTTTAAAGGTTCAGTCCTCTTTTTTCTTAATTTTTAAAAAATGTTTATTTAGTTTTGAGAGAGAGAGAGAGAGAGAGAGCATGAGCAGGGGAGGGTCAGAGAGAGAGGGAGACACAGATTCCAAAGCAGGCTCCAGGCTCTGAGCTGTCAGCACAAAGCCCGACATGGGGCTTGAATGCATGAACGGAGAGATCATGATCTGAGAATTCAGAGGCTCAACTGACTGAGCTACCCAGCACCCCCTGTTGACCATATTTCTTTCTTTCTTTCTTTCTTTCTTTCTTTCTTTCTTTCTTTCTTTCTTTCTTTCTTTCTTTCTTTCTTTCTTTCTTTCTTTCTTTCTTTCTTTCTTTCTTTCTTTCTTTCTTTCTTTCTTTCTTTCTTTCTTTCTTTAAAAGTTTTTTAACGTTTATTTATTTTTGAGACAGAGAGAGACAGAGCATGAACAGGGGAGGGTCAGAGAGAGAGGGAGACACAGAATTTGAAACAGGCTCCAGGCTCTGAGCGGTCAGCACAGAGCCCGACGCGGGGCTCGAACTCACAGACCGCGAGATCATGACCTGAGCTGAAGTCAGACGCTTAGCCGACTGAGCCACCCAGGCGCCCCTTTTTAATTTCTCTTTGTGATTTACCCATTAGTTAATTACTTAATTATTTTAATATTATTTAATTCATCACATTCATGTATTTTTTATATATGTGGGTTTTACTTATATGCTCATTAGTGTTTGCTGAACCTTTAGACTTCCTGAATTTGTACAGTTCTTAAAGATATCTCAGAAACTTTGGAATGTTTTACATAATTACAGAATATTATAAAGGGTACATTATTTTAAGTAAAATAATTTGATTCTTCTGTAATATTCATGAAAGCACTAAAATTCTTTAAAATCTCCAGGTCTTTATAATATTGGCACCTGTGTGTTTTCCAAAGTAAATTATTTTTAAGTATTCATTTTATTAATGTAGATTTATTTACTATTAAGAACCTAATTTTTAAAAATGCGAGGACAGACTTCTCTTTTTCACTGCTTACGGTGAAGGTCAAGGCCATTTAATATATCTTCATTTGTGTGTCTTACGCAGTTTATTTTCTGTGACCCTTCCGTTCCTTGTTTTCCAGGTCAGGATAGCGGTGGTGGTGATGGTAGAAGGGTGTGTGTGTGTGTGTGTGTGTGTGTGTGTGTGTGTGTGTATTTGTGTTGTGAGAGGGATTCTATTCTTCTGGAATGTACATAATACATATGAAGCTTTCTTTTCCTTTAGGTATATTAATGAATGTATTCTTTTTTTATTAAAAAAATTTAGCGTTTATTTTTGAGAGATAGAGACAAAGCATGAGCAAGGGAGAGGCAGAGAGAGAGGGAGACACAGAATCTGAAACAGGCTCCAGGCTCTGAGCTATCAGCACAGAGCCCAATGCGGGGCTTGAACCCATGAACATGAGATCATGACCTGAGCCGAAGTTGGACGCTTAACTGACTAAGCCACCCAGAAGCCCCATGTTAATGATGTATTCTTAAAGGAAATTATATAAGGGAGGAATCTGTGGTAGTAATATTGTTTAATCTTCAAATTAACAAAATATAGATATGAATTTAAGGCTTTATGTTTTCTCTGGCATAGTATAATTCTACTACCTTTGGATTTCCCCAATTATTTTTTTCCCTTCATTTTTTTGTTATTGATAAATTAAGATGGTAAATGTCTTTGTAGAGATGGAAGTTATAAACCTTAACATAATTAACAATTTTAGGGTCTTGGATTGTATTTATCTGACAGGAGGCTTCTGGAAAGTAATTAAATGGTTACATTTCTGATAGTGAATATATTCAACTTAATAACCTAAAAGCTGACATTTATTATTGCTCCTTTTTAGGTTTAAAAATGTAGATGTTATATTTGAATCACCTTTGAATTTCATTTACTTCAGTATGATGAGAGTTGAGTTTCACTTTATTATCAATATATTTATGATTCAACTAAAGTTTAATAGGACAACAGGTTTAGAACAGGAATACTTCATTGCATATAAATTTTTATTTTAAAAGAGGAGAAATAATTTTCTTATGACAAGTTCTTTCTATTAGTTTTTGGGCATAGAAAGACTTATCGAGATAATAAAACTAGGTAATAGATAAGGCTGAAGTCAGCTCTTCAGAGTTTATTTGTAATCCTTATATAATTGATGGTACATTTTAAATTATATTTTTGAGCATTGTAAATTTAAAGAAAAGCTAATTCTCTTACGAGGCTCTTATTGTTTTTAAAATGTGAAGTCTAAAATACATAGCTAGCTAGAAACATTTCCTTGTAATAACATATTGCCATTTGATTTGGCTTATGCAGAGAGCAGGAAAGGAAGTATAATATTGTATGCATTAAATTTTGTCTTGACTAATATGAATATTACTATACCAACTATAGTACAGGCATTCTCACATTCTTTTATGGTGTCTGTTGTGTCTTTTTAAAACTAAACTTATTTTGGAAAGATATGGTTTACAAATAGTATATTTTAAAGTTCTTTCCAGATATATTCAGAACTAGGAATTTTAAAAGTCTGAATGTCAGGAAGCTTAACAAATTAACCCATTTATATGCCAGTAATATGTTTTTCTTCAAAGCTTAGAAAATGCAACGTTTCTTAGTCCGATTTTAAATACTTTTTTTTCAGATAAAAGCATTTTAATTTCTTGTTTTCTGATTAATAAGAAAATTTTTTAAGTTAAAATCATTGGAATATATTTTTTTTTTTAATTTTTTTTTCAACGTTTATTTATTTTTGGGACAGAGAGAGACAGAGCATGAATGGGCGAGGGGCAGAGAGAGAGGGAGACACAGAATCGGAAACAGGCTCCAGGCTCTGAGCCATCAGCCCAGAGCCCGACGCGGGGCTCGAACTCACAGACCGCGAGATCGTGACCTGGCTGAAGTCGGACGCTTAACCGACTGCGCCACCCAGGCGCCCCTGGAATATATTTTTAAATAGGCAGGAATTTACAAAATGACAGTGAGGGTCAGTGATGTAGCAGGTAACAATTCCCTCTCTAAAAACAAAAAGTAGAACAATTAAAGCCCAGAATTATGAATCTGGGAAGTTGCATCTTAGACCTTGAAGTATGTGGTGATTTAAATGTGTATCAGTTAGTTTCTAAATATTGGGACCATTGGCTTTGTAGGATTTGGTTCTTGAGACCTTCAGTGTTTTGTCTAGACTAGTTTCTCTTGATACTGGTGGTTTTCTTTTTTAAGTTTTCATTTATTTTGAGATAGAAATTATGAATGAGAGAGGGGCAGAGAGAGAGAGAGAGAGAGAGAGAATCACAAACAGGCTCTGCACTGAGCAGGCTCTGCACTGTCAGCATAGAGCCTGATGCGGGGCTCGAACTCACAAACCGTGAGATCATGACCTGAGCCGAAGTCGGACACTTAACCCTATTTTTTAGGGCGCCCCTATATTTACTTTTTAAACATATATTGGGGCGCCTGGGTGGCGCAGTCGGTTGAGCGTCCGACTTCAGCCAGGTCACGATCTCGCGGTCCGTGGGTTCGAGCCCCGCGTCGGGCTCTGGGCTGATGGCTCAGAGCCTGGAACCTGTTTCCGATTCTGTGTCTCCCTCTCTCTCTGCCCCTCCCCCGTTCATGCTCTGTCTCTCTCTGTCCCAAAAAAATTAAAAAAAAAAAAAAAGTTGAAAATAAAACAAAAACATATATTTATTTACTTTCTGGGGGAGCACAAGCAGGGGAAGGGCAATAGAGGGGTCAGAGGATCTGTGCTGACAGCAGAGAGCCCAATGCGGGACTCGAACTCAGGAACCCTGAGATCATGACCTGAGCTGAAGTCAGACACTCAACCAACTGAGCCACCCAGGCACCCCCCCCACCCCCAATACTGGTGTATTTAATATAGCATCATATATAGTTGGCGAAATTTAGAATTTTTTATTGGAATATATTAATTATTGCTGTTTGAGGAAAACTAGGACCTTTCTTATGGATTCCTTTTACAGGGGTGTGGGGGGGAGAGGGTAAAGCTTTAACTCATCCGTGGTCTAAAAAACAGTAAGATTGCAGATCGCTGATGTCGAGAAATGTTTGCTGTGTATTTTAGGGGCCTTGATGCGCTCAGCAAAAAAGTGAAGGCTTCCACAGTAGACCTCCCTATAGAATCTGTGAGTCTGAGTCTGCAGGACCTGATTGGTTACTTCCATCCCCCCGACGAGCACTTAGAGCATGAAGACAAACAGAACAGATTACGGGCTCTAAAGAACCGTCAGAATCTCTTCCAGGAAGAGGTGAGTTTCCACCAACATTCATTTCCTTTATGCTGCTGTCTTCGGAAAACCGCTGCTCTGGGGGGAGATTCTCTGACAAGGTTTGCATTTGGAGTTGGATGAGCAGGTAAACAGTGGCATAAGGGAACCGGGCCTTGGAGGAACCCTGCGATCATTTTTGTGTCTCTGTCAGCGAGTGCTAATTTGAAACAGTGAAACTCTTCACTCCCCTGGCAAAGGCATTTTATTTTACTGTCGGCTCAGCCTTCTGCACTGATCATTCACTGCACTGCAGTTCGCTTCCTGTTTGTTACAGACGCACAGTATCTCAAAGTGTCCGAACGAACACAGGCTTTGAAAAGCTGGAGGGTTTTTAGACTCGTCAGCAGTTTCTCGAGGCTCTTGGGAGGTGCCTGGTCCCCAGGGAGCCTGGTGTTGAGAGAGAGAAACTGCCCAGGGGAGGTCAGGCCGCCTGTGGAGAGACAGAGCTCCAGCCTCTCTGCTTGGACAGAGCAGATGCACTTCTTACTTTTACATGGACTGAGTTTTCGCGTGTGATTTTATTTCACGCACCTTCCAGTAAAAAAGGAGTTCACGTGCCATATTTTATAGACAGAATTACAGAAGGACCAAGTGATACGTCTAATGCTCCTTTGAAAAGAGTGTCGGAATTACTGCCATAGAGAAGAATTTCGGTGGGAGGATGGCAGAGGTGAGCTGGCAAATGCCACCGGCTCAGTCCGTGCTCCCCTTCCTCTGAGTGCCCCCTGTGTGTGGAATAATGAATGTTTCAGAGTAAAAGTGTCTAAGAAAGAAAGGTTAGAGAATATTGACGAGTACCCACAATCCCTACCTCTACCTTCTTCTAGTTTGAAAACTGTTTCCTAATTTTCCATCAATAGCCTTTGAAATTAACATTAATTTTTGAGGACTTTTTAGTGTGTATACAAAAAAAAAAAAAAAAAAAAAAAAAAAAAAAAAAAAAAAAAAGGTGGGTCTAGAGGCTGTGGTGGTATGAAAGCACGGAGACCTGTGAACGTGAGCCAGTGACAACATGGACGAGTTTGATGGGACATTTTCTTTTTTTCTTTTTAAGTTTTTAAAGTTTTTATTTATTTATCTTTGAGGGAGAGGCAGAGAGAGCAGGGAAGGGGCAGAGAGAGAATCCCAAGCAGGCTCCGCACTGTCAGGGCAGAGCCCGATGCGAGGCGCGAACTCATAAACCGTGAGATCGTGACCTGAGCCGAGACCAAGAGTCGGATACTTAACCAACTGAGCCACCCAGGTGCCCCTGTTGAGACCTTTTCATCCTGCATCTGCCAAAATATTAGACCATGCTGAAATACTGGGCTATGAAAATTCGAAGGATTGATTTTGGATTTTTTTTTCAATTTCTTGCATAAGACAATCCGGACGGGAACCGACAAATGTACTTAGGGCCGTGGTCCCTCTTAAAACTCTGTGTGAAATAGGTTCCCTTGATTAGTCAACTCTTCCTTTTGTGTGTTTTGCCTCATTTTGGCAACCTTGATCTAGAAATAATAATAAAAGCTTAATTTCAAATTTAGATAGCATCTTTTTTTTAAGTTTATTTATTTATTTTGAGAGAGACAGAGATGGCACAAGTGACAGAGGGGCAGAGAGAGAGGGAGACAGAATCCCAAGCAGGGCTTTGCTTGGAGCACAGAGCCCGGTGTGGAGCTCGAACCCAGAAAACCATGAGATCATGACCTGAGCCAAAACCAAGAGTCAGACGCTCAACCTGCTGAGCCCTCCAGGAGCCCCAGATTTAGATAGCATCTTGCACAGTGGTATAACGCATTTTTTATTTGCTTCAAAGCTATCTTTTCATGAGCTTGTCTTTATTCATTTATTAGATCTTTAGCTTAATATTAAAAATGATGATGACAGTGCCTACCCTAAGAACTAGGATTCATTCGTGCTGTTACAGGGGAGGAAAAGAAATATTTTTCCTCCACTCATCTCAGGTTTGTTGGTCGAGGCCCTGCAGATCAGAGTGACAAAAGACAGCTATATAAGAGAAAACACGTGGAGGTTTATTAACTGGTGAACCCTGCATATCCATGGAGCACTCTGTGATGAGCAACTCAAAGGAGTGGTTAGAACTTGGGTTTGTACAGCATCCTAACAAAAGGACTAACAAAAGTAAGTTTGTAGAAACCGAAGAGACAAAGGAAAGGAATTTTGAGCGTCTGGGGCAGCAAGTTGTGGGAAGGTAAATACAGACGGAAACTAATGGAAGGTGAGGGTGAGTTAGTAAAGTTTCTTAGGTAGATTCCTCTGTGAAGCCTCTGGGCTGATAAGCGTTGGGCATTGTTTCTTGTGATTAAACAACTCCCGCCCTTCCTGGTGGAGAAGAAAAAGAGAATGTTTTCTTAGTTGCCTTCAGCTCAAAATAATCCTTATGCTAGGGACAGCTGAGTGGCTCAGTCGGTTAGGTGACGGACTCTTGATTTTGGCTCAGGTTCATGAGTTCAAGCCCCACATCGGGCTCTGTGCCAGTGTAGAGTCTGGTTGGGATTCTGTCTCCCTCTTTCTGTCCCCCTCCCCCATTTGGTCTCTATCTCTCTCTCAACATAAATAAAAATAAACTTAAAAAAATAATCCTTGGGGTGCCTGGGTGGCTCAGTTGGTTAAGTGTCCAACTTGCGCTCAGATCATGGTCTCGCAGTTACTGAGTTCGAGTCCCACGTTGAGCTCTGTGCAGACAGCTCAGAGCCTGGAGCTTCGGATTCTGGGTCTCCCTTTCTCTCTGCCCGTCCTCCTCCTGTGCTCGCTTGCTCTCTCGTTCTCTCTCAAAAATAAATAAACGTTAAAAAGTTAAAAAAAAATAATCCTTATGTCAACGTGGAATATTTTTTAGTGAACGTCTTTGTTTACTCATGGTAGAATACAGTTGTGATCAATTCCTTAATCTAGCAGTAAACCTTTCCTGTGCAAATATGAAGCACATATTTTGATTTTGTTCTTCTGCTTCTATCTGAGAACAGCCCGCAGGATTTAGAAGCCACTTGCATTACTTCAAGAACGTTTTATTTCCCATGCAAATGTGTTTCTTCCTGTCATGTAAATACATGGCCTCAATTTTCTTTATGATTAACAGGCTTACTTCAAGCCAGCCATTTTTTTTTTTTTTTTTTAATTAATCAACTGAGCATCATTTCTCGTCTGTGAGCAGCATCGCTGTTTCTCAGGGTAATTCTTGTTAACTTTCCAGGGCATGATCAACCTTGTGCTCGAGTGCATCGACAGGCTGCATGTCTATAGCAGCGCGGCGCATTTCGCGGACGTGGCGGGGAGAGAAGGAGGCGAGGCTTGGAAGTCGATTCTGAATTCTCTCTATGAGTTGCTAGGTAAGACGTCTGATGGTTTTCGAGGCAGCCAACGCACGCCCGTGTAGAACGATCCCATAAGTTTTATGACCTGCTTCTTAATCGAGGCTCAATGTGTTTCCTGTTGTTGCACTAAATCCTAGTGATGTTTGGTATTTACATCCATCCCTGAATGTGTACCGTGCCCAGAGCAGTAGATTTGTCTTCAGCGTGTGGAGGGGAGACATCAAGGGTGTAATTTGGGGGGGGTGAGGGGCCCCTGTATGCATATGCAGGAGATATTTCCTTTGTGATTCTGAAGTTAGTCCCCCAAGACCCCTCTTTCTCCCTCACCAGAGTCTCGTCAGGGATGTTCATCTTCCTTCTGTCCTTTTGAGATTTGTGTTTGCAACTTACATTTTTTTTTAATTGTTTTTTTAACATTTATTTATTTTTGAGAGAGAGAGAGAGACAGAGACAGAGTGTGAGCCGGGGAGAGGGAGACACAGAATCCAAAGCAGGCTCCAGGCTCCGAGCCGTCAGCACAGAGCCTGATGAGGGGCTCGAACTCATGAACTGTGACATCATGACCTGAGCCGAAGTCAGATGCTTAATTGACTGAGCCACCCAGGCTCTCCATGCGTTTGCAGCTTCTAGTGTGCTTGACGTATGTTAAGTAACACTTGTGGTTTAGGTGCATTCCTGTCGACTGTATGCAAACATATGTCCTTATTGTTTTTGGTCTGGGCTATTCCAATAGCTTCTCCATGTCTCTTGTCAAGAACTATGAACTTGGAAGCTACTGAGCTGGCCTCAAATTAGGATAAAGAGGGATAGTTTGTTTCTCAAAGCAATGGATGAAGCCAAAATATCAGCATCTGGGGGGGCCAGTTCCCCAAACCCCACTTCTCAACAGGATAATATGAAGGGGACATTTGACATGCAGTGCGTTGAGTTACTGGTAAGGGATTGTGACTCCCAGTCAGTCATGTTGGAAATACGCTTGCCTGCCCTTTGCTTTGGGTGGAGACACCATCTCTCTCTTCCAAGGCTGCTTGCTACAAACATCCGTGAAAAGATGGCCCAAAATAAAGGTTTCAGTGGCTCATTCGCAAGACACACAAGAGCAGAAGACCTGTGAAGAATTAACTCTCTCTCTCCACTCACCCTCACCCCCCACAATCCCACAGTCATCTGGTGAACTGTAGCTATGTGTCTCTTCCGCTGAGAAAATTCTCAGCTTCTCCCATCGTTCCAGAAGGCCAAGTTTAACTTGCTTTGCCTGGTACTTGAGGCCCCGGTGAACCCTTTTAGGCTTCCCCTTGACTCTGTCCTTCCCCTTTCTCTGGCCATACCCACTTTCTCAGTATCCTGGCCACATCCACGCTTCAGGGACATTTTCTTACTCCCACCTTTCCCCAAATTCCTGTATATTCTTTGAGGCCCAGTTCACGCGTGACCTTTTTGAAGTTAATCTTGACATTTTTTCTAAGTTTCAGGCATGATTGAACAGTTCCCTCGCCCTCTCTCTCTCCCTCTGTCTCTGCTTTCTTGGAACTCAATATTTACTTGTTTGTAGCATTTACCACATTAGTTACAAATGCGACCATGATCTCCAGGGCAAGAAGGGCACCTTTTCTGATTTGGCCATCTCTGTCATCGTGTCTGGCACATGGCAGATACTCAGTAAATGTTGACTAAACAAATCGGGTTCTGATAGAGTAGGAAAGTGTGTGCCTAAGTGGAGAAAAGAAGTCTCAAGGCATTTTTTTTCAGCAAAAAATGGGAAAGTTGTCAAAATATTTAGATATTATCTATAATCTAATTGAAACTCACTAAAATTTAATAATACTATTTAGCAAATAGAATTCTTGTGCCTGATCCCTTCAGGTGGCCTGTTTTATCTGCCATAACAATTAAACACGTACGGTTTGGTATTTTCAGAATAAGGGGTAATGCTGGCTAGCGTGTCTTTGAACAGGACCCAGGATATTGAGGCTTCCTAGGATTGTGGATTTATTATTTTTGAGAGACAGAGACAGAGCATGATCAGGGGAGGGGCAGAGAGAGAGGGAGACACAGAACCCAAAGCAGACTCCAGGCTCTGAGCCATCAGCCCAGAGCCCGACGCGGGGCTTGAACTCACGGACCACGAGATCATGACCTGAGCCGGAGTTGGACGCTTAACCGACTGAGCCACCCAGGTGCCCCCTGGATTGATTATTTTACCCATGAAATCATTAGGGTAAGGATTTTATGGTGCCCAAACCCCTTGCAAAGTATTTCTTTGTCAGTGAAGAAATTACAGCACGAATTTCTGCATTTGGTAGAGTCTGGAGTATGGTAGTGGTTTTGCCACCACAGTTTGACCTCTTCACTGGGTACAATGCTGGCTTTGTTTCTGTGACAAACTAGGTGTTGAGGGTGAAGAGGGGTCTAGACCTCTGTGTGTGTTTGAGGGTAGAAAGGGTTATGTGCAGAAAGTGTGCTATTGCAGACAAATGTAGGTGATGCACATCTTACTTACATTTTCACATCAGCTCTCTCCATAGTCTGTTAGTTTTTTCTCTTCACTGGGTCCATGCGTTCCTGTATCCATAAGTAATACAGGTGGACAGAGAGAAATATAATGCATTTTTCTAAACTCATAGATTTTTCTAAAATCTTTGTCATCCGGCAAAGTCAACATTTAAGTTTTATCCTTTTGGGCCACATATCCCTCAAGCCTGTCTTCCTTTTACTTGACAGAGTTCATTGGGGATTAAGTTGGATTCTTTTAGAACCTACTGAGGAGTAGCAATAAACTCTATAAAATGCTGGGTGGGAGCACACTCTTCGTCGGAAGTGGTTTTATGACTTAATTTTTTTTTAATTTATTAAAAAAATTTTTAATGGTTATTTATTATTGAGAGAGAGAGAGAGTCAGAGTGTGAGCAGGGGTGGGGCAGAGAGAGGGGGAGACACAGAATCCGAAGCAGGCTCCAGGCTCTGAACTGTCAGCACAGAGCCCGACGCGGGGCTTGAACCCACGAACTATGAGATCATGACCTGAGTCAAAGTTGGATGCTTAACCATCTGAGCCACCCAGGCACCCCTGACTCGATTTTTCACGGGAACATGGCTGAAGATCTGACTTTTACGTGACTTACCTACTCAGAGAGGAAGGGGAGAAGCAGTTGTTGTAGGTGGAATGATGCATCTCTTAGGATGTGTCCACGTGCGGATTACGGCCTCTGGTGCACACAGCAGAGGTCGTTCATTGGCTCCCAGAGCTGGAGGTCTACCAGCGGGTGTGAATCAGTGGCTTTATCATTGCTTCCAGAACCAGTTTCTTTATGTGTGTTGTGCCTTCCGCAGCAGGGTCTGCTCCCCCCAGTGCTGGCTGCCCTCGTGTGGCCTCAGCCGCCTGCTGTCCTCTCACAGTGCTGCACAAGTGGTCTCTGACATGGAACAAGTGAAAGAGGGCCGCTGTTGGAAACTGTCTCTTAGGAAAGAGCATGCCGTTTCTTAATCCCTTGCAAATCACCCCTTTCATCTCAGTAGACACGTCTGTAGCTCTTCCTGCAAGGGAAATAAGGAATGTCACCAGCATTTCACCGGGACTGCTCACGTCAGAAACTGGGGCCAAGCCCATGGACTGCCCGGCTGCCATGCAGAAGTGAGCATTGCAGAGAATTCTGGGGAAGGAGTTGAAGTGTCCAGCTCAAATGTTAATGTGTACACTTCACTCATCCAAAAGGTTTTATGGACCGAATTCGAATCTGAGTGCTTTTGTCCACCACCTAGCACCATGTGCAAATGGGGTTGGCGCTCAATAAATAGTTGTTCGAATTATTTAATAAATGTATTAGAGATTCCCACAGGGCGTAGGTTTCCCTGTAACAGATTACATGTGGCCATCAAGTTGGTTCATTACACATCACTGAACCCGTTATTCTGTTACCATCATGTCTTTTTCTTGAAAAACCAAAGCTCTAATCTTTAATCCATAGGCAACAGCCTCTGAGGAAATGACCCTTCTTTTAGCCCAGAAGAGTCTCAGAACTATAGCTCTACCACTTACATGACCTTGGACAGATTACTAAAGCTGAGCTCAGTTTCTTCATCTTCAATGCCCACTCTAGAGTGCCTCCTTTTTAGGGTCATTGTGCAATTCCGTGAGTTGATGTAAAGTACTCGGAAAAATACCAGGCACATAGTGAGTGACGTCTATTGTTATTATAAATATTATCTGTAAAATGGCAATACTAATTCCCCTTATAAGATTGTTGGATGGCTTACCTGTTGTGTGCAAAGTCTCAGCTCTCCCTCTTCTCATTAGTCTTGTTTTTTTTTCTTTTCTTTAGGATACATTTATCACCATCCTCTTTGTCATCAATGTAGTAAAACTTTCTTCTTCAACTTGTTTCTGTTCTTGTTTTTGTCTTTTAACTATGCCTTGGAAAAGAAATTTCCCTTGCAACGATTGGCTATAACAAGGGAAGTTCTGGATTTTGAAAATACAGAAGACGCAGAAGATACAGCATGATGCTTATGGTAGATACACAGTGGCTCTTGATTTCCTCATCAGAAAATGGAGGAAATAAAGTGTTCTTCATAGTTCCCTCCAGGCCGAAAATAATTTTCTATTCCATTTTTCTACCCATTCTCTGAATACAGTCATGCCCAGCTCTTACATCTGTATCTTCCACATCTGGTGCATAGCTGATATTCAGTAAATACTTGAGATCATGCTGATAGCTGGATGCTGTATGATTTCTCCCCACCAATCTTCATGGGAGACATCAGGGAATCCTTGCACATTTCCTTCAAGAATTGCCATTGACTTTCAGATACTTGGTATTCACCTTTCCCATTCCAGTCTTTGGAGCCCCATGGCTGGGGTGTCTGCCTTCTCACCTGAGACCTCACTCACTTTGTCCCTGCTCCCTGAGCATTCGGTCCTTCCAATGCTTGCCTCCTATCCACTTCTATACTTTCAGAATGTTAGACTTAGTTTATTTATATCAGAGGTTTGATAGGCAGTAACTATTATCTATGTT